CAGGGAGATGAAAGGACAGGGGGACGAGAGGACAGGGGGACGAGAGGACAGAGGGATGAGAGAACGGGGGGATGAGAGGACAGAGGGATGAGAGGACAGGGGGATGAGAGGACAGGGGGATGAGAGGACAGGGGGATGAGAGGACAGAGGGATGAGAGGACAGGGGGATGAAAGGACAGGGGGACGAGAGGACAGGGGGACGAGAGAACGGGGGGATGAGAGGACAGAGGGATGAGAGGACAGAGGGATGAGAGGACAGAGGGACGAGAGGACAGGGGGATGAGAGGACAGAGGGATGAGAGAACAGGGGGATGAGAGGACAGAGGGATGAGAGGACAGAGGGATGAGAGGACGGGGGGATGAGAGGACAGGGTAATGAGAGGACAGGGGGATGAGAGGACAGGGGGATGAGAGGACAGGGGGATGAGAGGACAGGGGGATGAGAGGACAGAGGGATGAGAGGACAGGGGGATGAGAGGACGGGGGGATGATAGGACAGACGGACGAGAGGACAGGGGACGGGGGGATGAGAGGACAGGGAACAGGTGGATGAGAGGACGGGGGGATGAGAGAACAGAGGGATGAGAGAACAGGGGGATGAGAGGACAGAGGGATGAGAGGACAGGGGGATGAGAGGACAGAGGGATGAGAGGACAGGGAGATGAAAGGACAGGGGGACGAGAGGACAGGGGGACGAGAGGACAGAGGGATGAGAGAACGGGGGGATGAGAGGACAGAGGGATGAGAGGACAGAGGGATGAGAGGACAGAGGGATGAGAGGACAGAGGGATGAGAGGACAGAGGGATGAGAGGACAGGGGAATGAGAGGACAGGGGGATGAGAGGACGGGGGGATGATAGGACAGGCGGACGAGAGGACAGGGGACGGGGGGATGAGAGGATGGGGGGACGAGAGGACAGGGAACAGGGGGATGAGAGGACGGGGGGATGAGAGGACAGGGGGATGAGAGGACAGGGGTATGAGGGGACAGGGGGGTGAGAGGACGGGGGGATGAGAGAACGGGGGGGTGAGAGGACGGGGGGGTGAGAGGACAGAGGGATGAGAGGACAGAGGGATGAGAGGACAGAGGGATGAGAGGACGGGGGGATGAGAGGACAGGAGGATGAGAGGACAGGGGGATGAGAGGACAGGGGGATGAGAGGACAGGGGGATGAGAGGACAGAGGGATGAGAGGACAGGGGGATGAAAGGACAGGGGGACGAGAGGACAGGGGGACGAGAGAACGGGGGGATGAGAGGACAGAGGGATGAGAGGACAGAGGGATGAGAGGACAGAGGGACGAGAGGACAGGGGGATGAGAGGACAGAGGGATGAGAGAACAGGGGGATGAGAGGACAGAGGGATGAGAGGACAGAGGGATGAGAGGACGGGGGGATGAGAGGACAGGGTAATGAGAGGACAGGGGGATGAGAGGACAGGGGGATGAGAGGACAGGGGGATGAGAGGACAGGGGGATGAGAGGACGGGGGGATGATAGGACAGACGGACGAGAGGACAGGGGACGGGGGGATGAGAGGACAGGGAACAGGGGGATGAGAGGACGGGGGGATGAGAGGACAGGGGGATGAGAGGACAGGGGGATGAGAGGACAGGGGGATGAGAGGACAGGGGGATGAGAGGACAGAGGGATGAGAGGACAGGTGGATGAGAGGACGGGGGAATGATAGGACAGACGGACGAGAGGACAGGGGACGGGGGGATGAGAGGATGGGGGGACGAGAGGACAGGGAACAGGGGGATGAGAGGACGGGGGGATGAGAGGACAGAGGGATGAGAGGACAGGGGGATGAGAGGACAGGGGGATGAGAGGACAGGGGGACGAGAGGACAGGGGGACGAGAGGACAGAGTGATGAGAGAACGGGGGAATGAGAGGACAGAGGGATGAGAGGACAGAGGGATGAGAGGACAGGGGGATGAGAGGACAGGGGGATGAGGGGACAGGGGGGTGAGAGGACGGGGGGATGAGAGAACAGGGGGATGAGAGGACAGGGGGATGAGAGGACGGGGGAATGATAGGACAGACGGACGAGAGGACAGGGGACGGGGGGATGAGAGGATGGGGGGACGAGAGGACAGGGAACAGGGGGATGAGAGGACGGGGGGATGAGAGGACAGAGGGATGAGAGGACAGGGGGACGAGAGGACAGGGGGACGAGAGGACAGAGTGATGAGAGAACGGGGGAATGAGAGGACAGAGGGATGAGAGGACAGAGGGATGAGAGGACAGGGGGATGAGAGGACAGGGGGATGAGGGGACAGGGGGGTGAGAGGACGGGGGGATGAGAGAACAGGGGGATGAGAGGATGGGGGGATGAGAGGACGGGGGAACGAGAGGACAGGGGGATGAGAGGACGGAGGGATGAGAGGACAGAGGGATGAGAGGACAGGGGGAACGAGAGGACAGGGGGATGAGAGGACGGAGGGATGAGAGGACGGGGGGATGAGAGGACGGGGGGATGAGAGGACGGGGGGATGAGAGGACGAGGGGATGAGAGGACGAGGGGATGAGAGGATGGGGGGATGAGAGGACGAGGGGATGAGAGGACAGGGGACAGGGGGATGAGAGGCCGGGGTAATGAGAGGACGGGGGGGTTTTTCGCGGGAGGGGAGGGAGGCCGGCGGGAGGGGGGATTCCCGGGCGACACGGAGGGCGATGGCAGGGGAAGCGTGGGCGACGGTGGGGGGAAGCGTGGGCGACGGTGGGGGGAAGCGTGGGCGACGGTGGGGGGAAGCGTGGGCGACGGTGGGGGGAAGCGTGGGCGACGGTGGGGGGAAACGTGGGCGACGGTGGGGGGAAACGTGGGCGACGGTGGGGGGAAACGTGGGCGACGGTGGGGGGAAACGTGGGCGACGGTGGGGGGAAACGTGGGCGATGGTGGGGGGAAACGTGGGCGACGGTGGGGGGAAGCGTGGGCGACGGTGGGGAGAAGCGTTGGCGACGGTGGGGAAAAGAGTTGGCGACGGTGGGGAATAGAGTTGGCGACGGTGGGGAAAAGCGTTGGCGACGGCGGGGAAAAGCGTTGGCGACGGTGGGGGGAAGCGTGGGTGACGGGGAGGAAGCGTGGGCCACTGTGGGAGGAAGCGTGGGCGACGGTAAGAGGAAGCGTGGGCGACGGTAAGAGGAAGCGTCGGTGACGGTGGGCTGAAGCGGGGGTGACGGTCCGGTGAAGCGTGGGCGATGAGCGTGTGTGAATGTGGGGGGAGGCGTGCGCGATGGTCAGCGGAATTGTGGGTGCACCCAGGGAGCAGGAGGCAGCGACGGTAAAGGGGAAGCGTGAGCGAAGGTGAGGGAAAGGGTGGGGGGAAGCGTGGGCGTGTGCGTAGGGTACGCAGAAGGCGATAGGGCCGAATGTGATGTTTGAGGAAGGGCGATGCCAGGGCGACCGAGTGAGGCAACGCGATACACCGTGGCGTTGCTGTCATACCGAGGCGCTACGACTGGAAAATAAGTCGGGGTGTCTACATTGGCCGAGAGATTGACGGCGGAGGCGGAAGGCTGGGGATACTTTCGCGACGCGCGAGCGTGTGCTTCTTTCTAAGCCTGAGACTACTACTCGCTGCAACGACACTTGGAGAGAACGTGGCGGTTGCGTTAGAGGAAACATAATGGCGGCGGCTCGGTTGCAACTAAAGTCGCCAAAGGTCCCTGATTCGTGTCTTTGAACAGAGCACTTAGACTGAAGATTGCCCGTATGTGACGGTAGAACGACTACTAGCGTGCCTCATAATATGCGTGTCCAAGCGTTCCCGATGGTTTTCAAGTTTACTCAAGGTGAATAGTGCTTTCCTCTGAGGCGTTTTTCCTGCTTGTTGTTCCAGTTTATCGCTGGCCAATCACGGATCACCTCTGCTGCTTGAAACTGACGGATTGTTCTGAACCAGCTGGTAACATGGTTATTCACGAAATCAACTTCAAGAAACTTGAATTTGAAAAATACCATGTGAAACTCGGGCTTTAAAGCCCAGTTCAGTGGCTTTGGCTTACGATGACTGCACATTTTTCAGTTGCTCTCCCAACCATAAGCCACTGGGAAATGTATCCCGTTCAGCAGAATGTATTTCTTTCAGGGCTAGTTTGTGCTCAACGAATAGTCCTTCTCCACCTTTCAAATACTGTATTCAGAAAACAAACATGGATGACGTCAAGTTTCTTGAAGCTTATCTTACTTCCCCATGGCGGCCACAGCCGTCTGTCATAATTCAAGGACCGATTCTCAAGCCATTGTGGTGCAAGCAAAAGCTTGCTTCTGTAGAGCAGACGAAGCATGCAAGCTCGCAGTCTGATTTTCCCCGACCGATTTTGTTTGACCTTTGTTTCTGTTGTCGTTGAAGAACACTAAGACTCGTCACTAGTGTTTGAGCTCCCATCATCCATGTCGACATGGATTGCACGGGAATGGCGGCTTCAATGAGGCGTCGGGACGGGTTTCGAACCCTAAGCGGAGGCAGTTCTGTCCTCACTGACACTATTCCGGAGGACACTGCGAATTCCGACACCGGCGTAGCGTGCGAAGTGAATCGAACGGCGACGTCTCACGGCGAGGATGATATCGAAGTCGAGGGGGATTGCGAGGGGTTACTGCTTATTACGGAGCAAGATGACGCTTACGCCGAGGGGCGTGGTTGCTGCCCATCGCTGGAATACAGCGGCTTAAAGCCACAACAGAAGCGGCTAACACTACCTACAGAATTCTTAACAAAATCCGCTTCCAAGTGTCATGTCTCTAGTAGCGCGCCGATACAAGCAGCACATTTGGACGAGGGTCACGATTCGTCCGCTCTTGCCACGTCCGCTTGTCATGGTGACGCGAACGCACCGACTCGGAGACCTCTTGGAACGGCCTTGCCGTGCTTCGCCGTCAATGGGAATGGAGCACGCGGACATGCCGAGGAAAACGCTTTTGAGTCTACTCAGAAGCTGTCGTGCTTCATCGTCCATGGGAATGGCGCACGCGGACATGCCGAGGAAAACGATCGTATGGAGACCGAGAATGAGGCGGCGGGAGAAGAAAGAGGGGAAGACGCAAGGGGGAGTGAGAGAGAGGACAGGAGTGAATTGGCCGTGGAAGAGGGGCCTGAGAAGAATCATCATGCGGCTGATCACGATGCGACATACGCGTCGGATGATTATGAGGGGGGGTACGCGTCTGATGGTGGAATTGAGTTCCCGCCTGAAGGGGAGGAAGCGGAGCAATCCATGGTGGAAGTGGGGGGCGCGGACGAGGCGGCGAAAGAGCGGCGACGGCAGCAGTCGTGGCTGTGGAGTGTGGAGTGGTTCGTGTCGTGGCCGCTTAGACGGCTCAGCCACTCGTGGCGAAAGGTACGCCGTGAATACCGGAGTGCTGTGCGTGTCTAGGCTTGAGGCGCCTCAAAACTAGACTCAGCCACCCGTGGCGAAAGGTACGTAGTTCACAGTAGCACGCAACTTGAAATGGTGCGTGCGCGCGTGCGTTTTTGTGTGTGTGTTGGCCGAGCTGTTGATTTTCTAGTCGACTCAGCCACCCGTGGTGCAGGGTACGCCGTGAATGCTGTGATGACCGGGACGCTGCTGCTCGAAGTTTCATGGTTCATACGCCATGCATGTATTGTGCGTGCGAAAAAAAACTCTTGAAAAATGTGGCTTTTGAGTTGACTCAAAAGTTGCTTCGTATCCCCCATGCGTGTGTTGTGTATGTAAAAAAACTCTCGAAAAAGGTTCTGTGACCGCTCACTTGGCTGTGGCCTCGGTTCTGGGGGTGAGAGAGAGAGAGCTGCAGGATGAGACGTCTCAAAACCGGTTCTGGAGGGAGAGCTGCAAGAACGAGAGGGATGACATGCAGAATAACATAACTTGCTTCTCAGCTTCCCGTTGCCGTCACACACAACCCCCCCACGGCCCCCCACCATCCTTCCTTCCTTCCTTCCTTCCAGCGTCTGCTGTGGGTGTGGGTGCTGGTGGTGGCAGCAGCTACTTTCCTCACCGTTCCTCCTGTGGTCACACCCTCCCTCGTACCCCCTCTCCTCTCCCTTCTTCAGCGTCTGCTGTGGGCGTGGGTGCTGATGGCAGGGGCTATCCTGTCACCGGTGTTTGCGACGGGCATGGCAGCACTCCATGCATTAACTTGCTTCTCAACTTGCAGCCCTGTCGTCACACCCCTTGCTTGCCCCACCCTCCCTCCACCCACCCTCCCCCTCCCCCTGTTTCAGCGTCTGCTGTGGCTGTGAGTGCTGATGGCAGGGGCTATCCTGTCACTGGTGTTTGCAAAGGCATGGCATAAACTTGCTTCTCAGCGTGCCCCCTGTCGTCACACCCCTCCCCCCACCCCACCCTCCCTCCCCCTGTTTCAGCGTCTGCTGTGGGGGTGGGTGGTGATGGCAGGGGCGATCCTACTGATGGTGTTTGCGGCGGCGTGGCGGCAGGCCAAGGCAGGCGAGAGGGAGGACCTGGAGGGGCACTGCGACAAGTGGGCCTCCTTTATCGAGGCCAAGTTCAACACCACTGCTGCCAACACACGCTCAATCTCCGATTTCATCCGCGCCTATTACCTCGATAAGTACGGGTAGAAAGAACCGCCGTCCGATTGTTTGCTTTGCTTTGCTTCTCACATTGCTGCGGATGGATTGATGCGCCTCCGAGGCACTGCGAGTCTCTTTTGACAATTCTCAAAAGTGACCGCCATCCGATCCGATTGGCTTGATGCATTTCTCCTCCCAGTGCTGCGAATGGCTTGATGCACCACCAATGCTCTGTGAGGAGAGGACCGGCGTTCATGAGTGCCAGATGGCCGGCGTTCATCGATGCCAAGGTCAGCACCACGGTTCTTGAAGCGCTGCAAAGAGCATTGCGCGAGGCCAAGGTCAGCACCACCGCTGCCGACCTACGCTATGTCTCCGCCGTTCTATGCCCCTACTTCTTTAACTTGATAAGTAAGGCCGTCCGCAGCCCACGGGTGTGCTTTTCCTCTCCAGACGGCAGATGCGTTCAGTTGGAGTGTCCGATGGCTGGGAATGTGAGAATGAAGGATCCTTTTTGTTCCTGCTGGGACACACCACACTTGGTGTGATCGTCTCTTGAACCCACCCTACACCTACTTTCTTCTGTTTCCCTCTGTTTGTGTGTGTGTGTGTGTGTGTGTGTGTGTGTGTGTGTGTGTGTGTGTGTGTGTGTGTGTGTGTGTGTGTGTGTGTGTGTGTGTGTTTGTTTTCTTTGGTTTTTCTTTGTTTTTTTTTTCTCTGTTTTTTGTTTCGCATAAGGAACTTCAGGCCAAGTTACCCAACCTCCCTCCTTTCTCCCCATCCTGTCACTCCCTCCCTGCTATCCCTTCCCTTCCACCTTCTTCTTTTCTCTCTCCCTTTCCTTTCTACCGTCTTTCCTCTCCCATTCCCCTCCTGCCAACTTCCCCCATTCCCTGCACCAAACCTACCCCTAGCACCTCCGCCTCTCCTTCCCCCAGAACAAGCAGTTTGAAGGAGGAATTTCGTGATGAGGCGAAATCCCAGATATTCACCCTGGCTACTCTTGATAGTCGAGGCGACCTGAATATATATTTTTTCGCCTTCTTCCCTCCCCCTCCCCACCCCTGGCAAGCAGCGAGTCGGAGGACTTTCACGACTTGGGGAAATTCCAGCGGTTCACTCAAGCTACTCTTGACAGTCGACCCATGGCCTCATGTGAGCTGCATGTGATTTGACTCCCCTCCCCCCCACTCCTCCCCCGCCCTCCTCCTCTTCGTTCCACCCACCGTTTTCACGCTTGGATTCCCCGTTTTATCCCCCTCCCGCATTTATCCACTTCGGCCCCCTCTTCCTCCCACCCTCCATTCGGTTCTTCCGGCTTCCCCACTGTGCTCTCCATGTTCCCTTCCCTCTGCTCTCCATGTTCCCTTCCCTGTGCTCTCCATGTTCCCTTCCCTGTGCTCTCCGTGTTCCCTGTGCGTGTGTATGCCACCCACCCACCCACTCTGCTGTCTCCAGTCGTGGCCTTCACTCTCCTCATCAACAACTCGTTCATCCGGGACAGAATCGAGAAGACCTCCGGGGGCTGCTTCTATGAATTTGCAGCGAATGGAAGCATGTTATGCCGCCCGCGTGGCCTGCCCCTGTATGCGCCACTGCTGGTCTATAACAGACGCACGGACTTCAACCCACAGATAAAACCCGCCGATGGTTGCTGCTACGACATGATGGCAGGTGATTCAACATGGCAGGTGATTCAACATGGCAGGTGATTCAACATGGCAGGTGATGAGTCAGCATGATGGCAGGTGACGAGTCAGCATGATGGCAGGTGACGAGTCAGCATGATGGCAGGTGACGAGTCAGCGTGATGGCAGGTGACGAGTCAGCATGATGGCAGGTGACGAGTCAGCATGATGGCAGGTGACGAGTCAGCATGATGGCAGGTGACGAGTCAGCATGATGGCAGGTGACGAGTCAGCATGATGGCAGGTGACGAGTCAGCATGATGGCAGGTGACGAGTCAGCATGATGGCAGGTGACGAGTCAGCATGATGGCAGGTGACGAGTCAGCATGATGGCAGGTGACGAGTCAGCATGATGGCAGATGACGAGTCAGCATGATGGCAGGTGACGAGTCAGCATGATGGCAGGTGACGAGTCAGCGCGATGAGCCGCTGTACGCCGCGCTGCTGATCTGCAACACCAACGATGAATTCTACCTTCGGCCCTCGGACGAACCTCACGGCTCTTCACTCCAAGTATTTTCCCAACGCAACCCGTCTTAACAATGTCGGGTCGGCACATACAGTCGGGGTCGGTTCGGGTCGGGTCGGTTCGACCTGGTCGGGTCGGGTCGACCTGGTCGGGTAGGTTCGACCTGGTCGGGTCGGGTCGACCTGGTCGGGTCGGGTCGACCTGGTCGGGTCGGGTCGACCTTGTTGGGTCGGGTCGAGCTGGTTGGGTCGGGTCGAGCTGGTTGGGTCGGGTCGAGCTGGTTGGGTCGGGTCGAGCTGGTTGGGTCGGGTCGAGCTGGGTCGAGCTGGTTGGGTCGGGTCGACCTGGTTGGGTCGGGTCGACCGGTTGGGTCGGGTCGACCTGGTTGGGTCGGGTCGACCTGGTTGGGTCGGGTCGACCTGGTTGGGTCGGGTCGACCTGGTTGGGTCGGGTCGACCTGGTTGGGTCGGGTCGACCTGGTTGGGTCGGGTCGAGCTGGTTGGGTTGAGCCCACCAAGGGAGCCACCCAGCCCGGCCAACAAGGCGTGATTCATTACACGTGTCTCCCCCCCCTTCCTCCCTCCTCTCATTCACACATCCTTCTCCCTGCCACCTTCCATCGCCGCTCTAAGGCCCATGGGTGAACGACACATTACATTGGCCCATGTATCAGCTTCCTCTGTCTGTCGTCTCTGTCAATTTAAAAGTCACCTTCGCCGTCTCATAAACCTAAAATAAAAAAGACTGGGGAAAAAAAAAAAAAAAAAAAAAAAAAAAACTGAAATTTCTGTCCTCCTTACCCATTGCCGCCCGCTGCCTCCCACCGTCCCTGTCAGACCCAGCAGTGAGTGACATGATCGACAGGGCCTGCCTCCGCCATGACCGCAGAAGATCTTACGAGAACTAAAATTCATTCCCCTCCACTCCACCCTGCCCTCTTTTTCCACCGCCTCCCACCGCCGCTCTCAGACCCAGCAGTGAGCGACATGATTTATCGGGCCATCGATTCAGCCGCTTCCGTCTTGTCTCCTCCCTTCGTCCGCGAGAACTACCCCTACCATTTCATCAGCCAAGTCTTCCCAGTCTACTTCAACCTCACCACCTTCGCCCTGCCCCCCTCAGCCTCCCCTCCCTCTGTCGCCATCCCTCCGCTCGCCACCCCCGGGGTGCTCCCACGGGGGTTTGTCATCGCGGGGTATAACTTTGCAAACCTGCGATCGCTGGCGGGGTTTAAGCAGCTGGAGGAGCTGAAGACGAGGGTTTACCTGGTGGATGGTACCCCGGGGAGGGCTTCGGATGGTGGGCGGATTGAAGATGTGCTGAGTGGGAAAGGACAGAGTGGGTATGGAACGGCTAGTAGGTGGCTACCTGCGCTGCTATTTGACCATGAGGGGTTGGTGGGCGAGGAGGAGATTAACGTGTGGATGACGAAGGAGAAGGAGGGGACGAGAGTGCGACAGGCGCTGCATTTGGGTGATCCAGCGAGAAACTTCTATCTTTACTGCCAGTGAGTTGATTGATTGTTGATGTGTGCATGCATACGTGCGAGGACGCATGCATACGTGCGAAGATGCATGCATACGTGCGAAGATGCATGGATACGTGCGAAGATGCATGCATACGTGCGAAGATGCATGCATACGCGTGAAGATGCATGCATACGTGCGAAGATGCATGCATACGTGCGAAGATGCATGGATACGTGCGAAGATGCATGCATACGCTTAAAGATGCATGCATACGTGCGAAGATGCATGGATACGTGCGAAGATGCATGCATACGCGTGAAGATGCATGCATACGTGCGAAGATGCATGGATACGTGCGAAGATGCATGCATACGCGTGAAGATGCATGCATTCGTGCGAAGATGCATGGATACGTGCTAAGATGCATGGATACGTGCGAAGATGCATGCATACGTGCGAAGATGCATGCATACGTGCGAAGATGCATGCATACGTGCGAAGATGCATGCATACGTGCGAAGATGCATGCATACGCGTGAAGATGCATGCATACGTGCGAAGATGCATGCATACGTGCGAAGATGCATGCATACGTGCGAAGATGCATGCATCCGTGCGAAGATGCATGCATACGTGCGAAGATGCATGCATACGTGCGAAGATGCATGCATACGTGCGAAGATGCATGCATACGTGCGAAGATGCATGCATACGTGCGAAGATGCATGCATCCGTTCATGAACATAGTACCAAGCCAAAGTTGGGTTCGGTCGATCCGGTAGAGTATACTCAAAAGCTCCTTTCAACCCGAACTTTTCCTGGTTCTGTTTGGCCTGTTCTTTTGGATAGTGGTGGCAGTGCAGTGCTCTCCCTGGCTGTCTCAACCTTCCTGCTCTGGACGTGCATCCACCATCCTGGACGTGCAACCTTCCCTCATGCACGCCTCCTTCCACTCCTCACCCCCCCCCCACCACAGGCACATATCCCCTCCCTCGCACCCCTCGTGACCTTCCCTCTCCTCCCCCCACCCCTCGCCCTCCATCCCACCACAGGCACACCTCCTACTCCCCGCCGTTCGCCCCGTTCGTGTGGATAGTCTTGGCGGTGCCCTTCGTGGGAGTCTCCACCTTCCTGCTCTGGACGAGCATCCAGCTCATGCACGCCTTTGAGTGCGACTGTAAGCACCTGGCAGCGGCGCAGCACGAGCTCAGCACCGCGCGAGTGGAAGCCGAGGCGGCGAGCCGCGCCAAGGGAGACTTCCTCACGACCGTGTCACACGAGATCCGCACGCCCATGAACGGTGTCATAGGTATGCATTTGTTTTCTCTTAGCAAACCTGTATGTTTGAGGTGCCCTGAAAGCAGCGAGCCGCGCCAGTGGAGACTTCCTCACGACCGTGTCACACGAGATCCGCACGCCCATGAACGGTGTCTTAGGTACGATGTGGATGAGTACTAGGTGCTTGCCTCAAACAGGGTCTTAACACTCGTGGGCCACGCCAAGGGAGACTTCCTCACCATCGTGACGCACGAAAACCGTTTTCTCATGAACAACGTCATTAGTAACGTGCTCTCTAAAACTTTGATTTAGAATTTACGTCATGCGAAATAATAAGGACATTATTATCATGCTTAAGGTTGAGCAAACTGTGTCTTTCTCCTTCTCCCCATCACCTCCTCCAGTGTCTTTTGAGGCGCCAAAAACATTGCCTCCTTGTCTCTTTGTCTCATTGTCTCCCTGTCTCCCTGTCCCCATCACCTCCTCCTCCAATTTCACCTCTCTTGCACCCTCACTTCATATTGGCATCTAGGCATGCTGAACCTGCTGCTGGAGACCCCATTGGACAGCTCCCAGCAGGACTACGCGGAGACGGCGTGCAGCAGCGGGCGGGCGCTGTGTGCGCTGATCAACGACATTCTCGACCTCTCCAAGATCGAGGCCGAGAAGCTCCGCCTCGAGCGCATCCCCCTCAACCTCCGCGCCGAGCTCGACGACGTGCTCGCGCTCTTCGTGGAGAGCGCCCAGGAGAAGCGCTCTGTTGAGCTGGCCGCGTTTGTGGCGGACGACGTGCCGGAAACACTCCTTGGGGATCCGCTCCGAGTGAAGCAGGTGTGTGCGGCGCTCGAAACAGGCATAAGCAAGTGCTGAACTAGAACTCGAATCGGGTTGGGTCGAACAGGTTCGAACTTGCCCTCTAGTTGAACCAAACTGGTTCGGTTCGGGTCCGTAGAAATTGGATCGGTGAACTTCAGGGCACAATGGGAAGATGAAGATGAAGATGAAGAGGTCAGGAAGATGGTTCAAATCTTAGAGACTAGAGGAATGTCCTTGTCCAAGGATGAAGTCGATTGAAGTGGTGGAGCCATATATGTATGGCTAAATCGTTTTGTCTTGCTACAACACCTCAAAGTTTAGCGCAAAGTTAGCCAACCTTGTCAAGCTAGAAAGTGAGGCCTCATGTTGCACATGTGGGCCAGACTCGAACACCAACCTACGTGGCAGCACATGGAGCACCATACGGATAGCAAGGTGAGCATGGGATGAGTGGACAGTTGGCAATGTCAACTGTGGCCACACTTCACTGTGGGTGAGTGTGCTGGAGTATGGACATGCCATGTTGAGGATAAGGGCGTATCTCAGTTCGGGTCATAGAGGCTCACTTCGGGTCATAGAAGCACTTTGGATCATCCGAGAACCAATAACATTCCAACAGTGTAGCTGAAACGCGCCCCATTGGTCGTCCAAGAATCTCGGATGACCTGAACAGTGTCTATGACCCAAAGTGAGATACGCCCTAATTTGAGAGGGGAAAGTGATGACGCATTGGGACATACTTGGTGCACAAGAGGGTCGAACCGACATAGGAGGGGTCTAGGTTCGTCGTGTGACCGCTCACATATCATAACCCCTTACCGACGAATACATCATAGGCAGGCTATGATGTGTTCGTCGTGTGACCGCTCACACATCATAGCCTCGGCGGCCCCTCCCCCTTGCCCCTCCCCGTCACGCAAGCACGCCCCCTTCCATCTCTGCTCGGCTCGTGCCCCCTTGCCTTTTCTCCCTTACTCCTTATCCCAGCCTTTTGGTTGGCTGTTTTGTCAGGCGTGCGAGATCATTCTGAACTCTCTCATACTTAGCACGGATATCATTGCACTCATTGCACTCAATCACTCGCAGCTGGTCTTGGGACATATTCTCAGCGAGCAGCAAACTCATTCAGGCTATCTCATTCTCGATTTTTGAACTGTCTCATACTTCGCACGGATATCAGAGCACTCATTGCACTCAATCACTCGCAGCTCTCATAGCGCTTTCCCTTGCTCACCGTATGTGTGTGTGTGTGTGTGTGTGTGTGTGTGTGTGTGCGTGCATGCATGCCTGTGTGCATGCCTGTGTGTGTGCATGCCTGTGTGGTTTTTCCCTGCCTCCATCAGATTCTCATCAACCTCGTAGGCAACGCCTTGAAGTTCACCACCAACGCCTCTGTATGCATCAATGCCTCCCCCCCCCCCCCTCTCCCCCCTCCCCCCTCCTCCTGCATGCAACAGATACTCATCAATCTCATCAACAACGCCTTGAAGTTCACCACCAAGGGTCATGTCTTCATCGCCATCCGCCTCGCAACCCCCGCCGACAACAACACCAACGATGACAATGGCGCTCCCTCCGCACTGCTCTCACCTGCCTCCTCCACGTCCTCCTTGTCACCCCCATCATCCCCATCACCATCGTCCCACTCCAAAGAATCGCCTCCCCGGCACCATTCTCTTGCCAGTTGCTTCACCAGTGCCAACAGCCGTAGGGAGAGGAAGAAGGGTGCAGCTGAGGGAGATGGAGCCACTGATGCTGTAGATGGGAGGAGCGGTGCTGCTGGGGTAGATGGGATGAGAGATACTGCTGGTGGCGACGATGGCACTCGTGACGACAATGACTCCTGTGTCGATGGGAGCACTGGTGGCAGTAGGCCTGTTGAGCTTGCTTCCACTGACCCTGGGTGCCTGACACTGAGTGGGCGGCCAGCAGTAGAGACGTGGTGTTCTTGGGAGGCCATGCGGGAGCACATGGATCTTGGAGCCGTGGGCATGGGCATGGGCATGGGCATGGGCATGGGCATGGCGAATGAAACCTGCCGTGGACGCCACGGCCCTTGCATCCTGCCCCCTGACCAGCCCGTGCGCCTGATGGTGGCTGTGGAAGACACAGGTACGACGGTTGCACTTGTGATTGCAGTATGTTGTGCAAAAGTTGATCATGTTGTGAGACCGTTGATCAGTTTGTGAGATATGTCACAACGCATGCCTTCAAGCTTTCACATGCTCTCCAACCTGCTCCAGCAAGCAGGTCGAGTCTATTCCTCACCGATTTCGTTCCTATGCTCGTTCTTGCTGCAGGTACCGGCATCCCGCGCCACGCTCGGAGGCACATCTTCCGGCCGTACACACAGGCAGAGCGCAGCACGGCACGGCTGCATGGAGGCACGGGCATCGGCCTCTCCATCTGCAAGGTGCGCTGCGTTGTTGGGGCATCCTGCATTGCTATCCTTCTTTTCCTGCCCATATCCTTCCATTTCCCCAATCAAATCAATTCCAACACCACCACCCCCCCTCCCCTCCCCATTCCCTTGCTGCAGCGCCTGGTGTCACTGATGGGAGGATCCATCTCCTTTGCCAGCAAGCCAGGCGTCGGCACCACCTTCCTCTTCGATATCCTCCTCCACACACCCCCTCTCCCTCACCCTCCTGCCTCGCCTCCTCATCCTCCCCAACCCTACACTCCTCCCCGAACCAACACTCCTCCCCGAACCAACACTCCTCCGCGACCAACACTCCTCCCCGAACCAACACTCCTCCCCGAACCAACACTCCTCCCCGAACCAACACTCCTCCCCGAACCAACACTCCTCCCCGAACCAACACTCCTCCCCGAACCAACACTCCTCCCCGAATCAACACTCCTCCCCGAATCAACACTCCTCCTCAAACCAACACGTCTCCTCATGCCGCTGTCCTTCCTCCCTCCTCTCTCTCACGTCCGCCTCCCCTGCTTACGGTGTCCCTCACCTCCTTGCCATCCTCTGCTTCTCCATCTGCCACTCCCTCTGGCCCTCCATACATCCCCTCTTCTCCATCTGCCACTCCCTCTGGCCCTCCATACATCCCCTCTTCTCCATCTGCCACTCCCTCTGGCCCTCCATACATCCCCTCTTCTCCATCTGCCACTCCCTCTGGCCCTCCATACATCCCCTCTTCTCCATCTGCCACTCCCTCTGGCCCTCCATACATCCCCTCTTCTCCATCTGCCACTCCCTCTGGCCCTCCATACATCCCCTCTTCTCCATCTGCCACTCCCTCTGGCCCTCCATACATCCCCTCTTCTCCATCTGCCACTCCCTCTGGCCCTCCATACATCCCCTCTTCTCCATCTGCCACTCCCTCTGGCCCTCCATACATCCCCTCTTCTCCATCTGCCACTCCCTCTGGCCCTCCATACATCCCCTCTTCTCCATCTGCCACTCCCTCTGGCCCTCCATACATCCCCTCTTCTCCATCTGCCACTCCCTCTGGCCCTCCATACATCCCCTCTTCTCCATCTGCCACTCCCTCTGGCCCTCCATACATCCCCTCTTCTCCATCTGCCACTCCCTCTGGCCCTCCATACATCCCCTCTTCTCCATCTGCCACTCCCTCTGGCCCTCCATACATCCCCTCTTCTCCATCTGCCACTCCCTCTGGCCCTCCATACATCCCCTCTTCTCCATCTGCCACTCCCTCTGGCCCTCCATACATCCCCTCTTCTCCATCTGCCACTCCCTCTGGCCCTCCATGCATCCCCTCTCCTCTTCCTCAACGCTCCTGCAACATGCCCCCCCAAGACACAGGCAACCACCAACAGCAGCAACGGCAGGAGGCAGCATGTGGGCTAGCAGGCATGTGTGTGGTGAGTGGTGGGAGCGGTGGGAATGACAAGAGTGCAACACAGGGTTGGGAGGGCGTGTGTGTGGTGAGTGTGGACGACCGGCCGGTGCGGCATGCCGTCACTCTCTCTCTGCTGCGCCGCCTTGGCTTCTGCACCCTCCCCTGCCCCTCCTTCCACCTCCTCCCCCGCCTCCTCGCCCAACACCATGCCTTGCACCATGGGGAGCAGGAGCAGGAGGAAGAGGAGCGGGAGGAGGGGACGAAGCAGGAGGAGCAGGAACTGGAGGAGGGGAAGGGGCAGGAACAGGAGGAGGGGAAGGGGCAGGAACAGGAGGAGGGGAAGGGGCAGGAACAGGAGGAGGGGAAGGGGCAGCAGCATCGCAAGTTTGCGCTAACCTCCCTGTCCGCCGCTGCTGCTTCATCTCTCCCTCACTTCCTTCCCCTGCAGTCTCCTCACTCCACAACCACCCAGCCCCCCCGTGCTCCACACACTGCCTCCATGGCAGCGAGATCAACACCCAACCCATCAGCTCCTCTTGCTGCTTCTCCCCATAACCCTCCTCGCTCCAAGGCACATGCAACTCTGGCACAACTCGCTCCTCTTGAGACGTCTCAAAAGGCACATGCAACCCTCACACGACTTCCAAATCCCACACACCTCCCACCTCTCACCTTGCAACACTCCACAAGTACTCCGCCTCATCTGTCGCTCATCCCCCAGCTTCCTGGCTCACAACCCAACACAGCACCTGTCAACAGCCACTCATTTCCTCCTCCCGAGCCTCCTCCCGAGCCTCCCCGCGAGCCTCCTCTCGATCTTCCTTTCGAGCTGCTGAGTCATCCTCGCGAACTGTTGACTCATTCACTCAAACCGTTGAGTCATCCTAACGAGCCTCCTGTGGAGCCGTTTGGCTCGCCAGCTGTTCTTGTTGCTCCTTTCACCTTCCGCCCCTCCGTCTCCACCCCCTCTGCCTCCTCTGCCCGCTTCTCCTGCCCTCCTCTTTCAGTCGATGTCTGCTCTTGGCGCGAGAATCGCGTGGGTGGAAGGGAGGAGGAGGAGCAGCGGCATCAGCAGCGGCAGCGCCGCTGGCAAAAGCAGCAGGAGGAAGAGGAAGAGGAGGAGGAAGGGAAAGGGGAGGGGAAGGAGGAAGGAGAAGAGGAGGAGGAGGAAGAAGGAGAGGAGGTTGGAGAGGGGGGAGTGCAGCAGCGGGTGCACTACAAGAGCTTGAGCGTGGCAGAGAGGCGGGGATGGGTGGGGGCGGTGGTGGTGGAGGGGGAGATGATGCAGCGGCTGGGCGTCACAGCAGATCAAATCCATGCTCTCTTGATGGACCAGGGGGGGGCTGGGATGGCAGGGTCTGGCGAACCAATGAGCGAGCGAGAGGAGATGAGTACGGACGAGCACGTGAGTGAGAGAGCTCAGACGAGCAAGGGAGGGCACATGAGCAGGGGCAGGGAGGAAGGTGCGCAGATGACAAGCGAGGGAGTGGGCATGTGTGCAGTGGAGGCGAAGGCACATGGCAGCAAGAGCAAGAGCATCAAGCAAAGCAGCTCGCATGGATGGCCCGTCCCCTTCCTTGTCCTCCTGCACGGCTCTCTCCCCCTCCCACCCACTTCTCTTGACAGAGGCCTTTCCGCGGCAGACAGCTTCAGCTGTTATGAGAGGGATGCTTATAAAGGAGACAGATTTTCCCATGAGCCTGATTTGGACAGTCTCAGAGCAGTCAGCTGTGAACCGCCACAGAGACGGGAGGGTCGGACCGGAGAGCGGAACAGGGACAGGAGTAGGGACGGGAGCAGGGACAAGGGTATGGACATGTGCAGTGATAGGAAGCACATGAGGGACAGGAGCAGGAGAAGCAGCTGTACGAGCAACGAGAGAGCTGGAACAGCTGAAAGAGTGGATGGAAGGGTGGGTGGGATTGATTGTGAGTGTAAGCGGGGTGACTGTAACGATGTGACGAGGGGCTGCCGAGGCATCAGCAGCAGCAGCAGGAGCAGGTCGCCTGCGCCCTCACTCTCGCCCTCCCCGTCCGTCCCCTCGCTATTGTCACTTGGCTTTGATGCTGTTGTGAGGAAGCCTCTTCGCAAACCAGCATTGCTGGCGGCGTTCCTGCCGCTGTTCCAGGTGGGCACGGAGCAAGGTGAGTGTGCGCAGGGGGGTGGAGGAGGAGGAGGAGGAGGAGGAGGAGGAGGAGGAGGAGGAGGAGGAGGAGGAGGAGGAGGAGGAGGAGGAGGAGGAGGAGGAGGAGGTAATAGCGACGATGGAGCCCGGGGAGGGTTGAGGGGGAGTGACGAGGGTCATACTGCGAAGTTGAGCCAAGAACCTTCCCACCACCAGCAGCAGCAGCGCTGCCACCGCTCTCTCAGTATAGACTGTATCAATCGACGGGGGCAGGGGCAGAGGCAGTGGGGTGGTGCGGCATTGGAGCTAGTGAGCCCATCGGCCATCCACAAGGCTGGCAGCAGCGCTGCAGCAGCCCTCTGGCGAGCTGTGACGTCCCCCCAGGCTCTCATTTCCCCTCAGTCCCTCACTTCCCCTCAGTCGCTCGATTCCCCTCGCTTGTTTAAGTTGCGCCCCTCTCACTCTCCCAACACTCCTACCACTCACACCAATCCCAACACGCCCACCACTCCCACTAGCCCCATAGCTGCACGAAACACGTCACCCAATGCCAACAGTGGCCATGCTGCTGCTGCTGCTGCTGCTGCTGCTGCTGCGGAGGCTATCAGGCATCATCAACATTCCTTAGAGCCAGGTGGGACCTTGTCGCTGAGTGCCAATGGCGGTGCATCCAGGGCCGAGGCTGCTCCTGACATGCATGGCCCGGGAAAAAGGCTGATGGTGTGTGAGGAGGAGACATCGCTCGGAGGGCAGCAGCAGGGCATGGGTGGCAACAGTGCCTCATTGGCTAATCGATCTGCTTCCCTTGAGCACCTGGTTGACGCGTTTGCACCTGCACCTGCTGCTGCTGCTGCTGCTGTGACTGCTGCTGCTGCTGCTGCTGCTGCTGCTGCTGCTGCTGCTGCTGCTGCTGCTGCTGCTGCTGCTGCTGCTGCTGCTGCTGCTGCTGCTGCTGCTGCTGCTGCTGCTGCTGCTGCTGCTGCTGCTGCTGCTGTGGCTGCTCCAACAGGCTTCTCATCGGATGCTGCTCCGGCAGGTTTGTCATCGGTGGGCAGTACGGCGGGTGGAGGTGGTGAGGTGACGGGAGGTAGGGCCCGTGGGAGAGGCACCAGTGCTGGGGAAGCACCTGGTTCGGGTGAAAGGAGGGCGTGGGTGCACGGGTCAGCAGGCGAAAGGAGAGCAGCTGGGGGCTTGCATGCCAAACAGAGTGAAAAGAGGAACAGCACAAACACCCATGGTGCTGCTGGTGGCGAGTGTGGTGTTGCTGCTGCTGTGGCTGGTGCTGGTGGTGGTGGCAGGGTGAGTGGGTTTCAGAGTGTGCTGGATTTTGCAGGGTTCTCTCCTGCTACTTCAGCTTCTTTGGTTGGCACACTGTGCCCTGCCGTTATGTCGTTTGAAGCGCCTCAAAAGTCTTCCTCGGTTGGGACACTATCTCCTGCTCCTACGCGCACACCATCGCCATCACTCTCACCAGCCCCAGCACCCGCCACACCACCACCACCAGCATTCTTAACAGCAGCACGGCCAGCAGCATCAGCAGCAGCAGCAGCGACAGGGGAGCCGGCGACGGTAGGGGAGAGGTTGAGCGTGCTGTTGGGTCGGCGGGTGATGGTGGTGGATGACAATGTGATCAACCGCAACGTGGCTTTCGAGCCCACTGAAGAGCCAGCGACAGTAGGGGAAAGGCTGGGGGTGCGTGAGTCGACTCAAGAGCCAGCAACAATTGGAGAGAGGCTGAGCGTACTGGCAGGTCGGCGGGTGATGGTGGTGGATGACAATGCCATCAACCGCAAGGTGGCCAGCAAGCTGCTGGAGAGGCACGGCGCGCGAGTCACCGCCGTGGATGGCGGCATCAAGGCCCTTCACGCCCTCGCCCCGCCCCACCCCTACGAGCTAGTTCTCATGGATTTGCAGGTGAGCCGAGAGGGGGGTGGAGAATGGTTAGAGGGATGGAGATTGGGTGAGAGGGATTTCAGGTGGGCGTTGGGATGGTTCTCTTCTCCCCTTCCATGAGGTGAGAAGGGATATGCGTTCAGGTGAATCTTACCTTCCATGAGGTGAGAAGGGATATGCGTTCAGGTGAATCTTACCTTCCATGAGGTGAGAAGGGATATGCGTTCAGGTGAATCTTACCTTCCATGAGGTGAGAAGGGATGTGCGTTCAGGTGATTCTTACCTTCCATGAGGTGAGAAGGGATGTGCGTTCAGGTGTCCCCGCCTCACCTCAGTCTAACACTCATTTTACACCCTCCCTCCCTTCCCAGATGCCGCGCATGGATGGGCTGGAGGCGCCTCGGAGCATTCGACACTCCATCTGGCCTTGAACGTCCCCCACTTGGCATCTCTTACACACCCCTCCCCCGCTTTGCAGATGCCGGGCATGGACGGGCTGGAGGCGACTCGGAGGATCCAGGCGCGGGAGAGGGCTCAGGGCGGGGGGCATGTGGCCATCATTGCGCTCACAGCGGATGTGATTGCCGGCACGCGCCACCACTGTTTTGCTGTCGGCATGGATGACTACCTCTCCAAACCCCTCAGCGACGCGCAACTCTCCAAGGATGTCTGGCGCTGCCTTGCCCATACGTGATCATTTCATCATTGCTTCGCCACCACTGCTTCGCCACCACTGCTTCGCCACCACTGCTTTGCCGTCGGCATGGATGACTACCTCTTTATACTCCACCACCACGCCCACCTCTCCAACGCCGACTTTGCTGCTGGCGACTGCAGCCGCGGACAGGTACGATCCTGCCACCTGGTCTCGTTTCTCCTGTGCTTGGAATTGCCTTGTTTCTCCTTGGCTTTGCTTCCTCCTCGCCTCGTCGCCACCAACCCGTCTTTGCTGCTGGCGACTGCCGCCGCGGACAGGCAGTCCCTGCAAATTGTCTTCATTGAAAATTATCCCTGCATTTTTTTTTATTTTTTTTTAAATGGTTATGGTAGTCCCTGCTTTCCTTTGAAAAAATCCGCCTTCTGCCCATCCCCTACCCTCCCCCTTCTCCAGTCTCTGGTGGTGTGGGCTATTGCGGAGGGCCGTGGCGCAGCGGCCAACATTGATGCATATGTGATGCGCAATGAGGAGGTGGACATGGCAGCGCAGGAGAGGGAGCTCGTGGCGGTTGCTGCCAGGGTTGTGGCTGCCCTGTCGACGCTGCTGAGCGGAGTGCTGCCACCAATGGCAGTGCCACCAATGGCAGTGCCACTAACGGGAGTGCCACTAACGGGAGTGCCACTAACGGGAGTGCCACTAACGGGAGTGCCACTAACGGGAGTGCCACTAACGGGAGTGCCACTAACGGGAGTGCCACTAACGGGAGTGCCACGAAGCGGAGAGCGTTCCCGGAGGGCGTGGAGCAGGCACGGGTGGAAGCAGTTGATGTGAGATGAAGGGGTTTGTGGGGATGGGGGGTGGCAGGCTGAGAGGCCTTGGAGGCTGAATGGGAGAGTGTATCCCGAGGGCGTGGAGCAGGCACGCGTGGAAGCGGTTGATGTGAGTTGAACAGGTTTGCTTGAAGGCTTGGGAGTGGGGCTGATGGGTCTGGTGGGGGATGGGGATTGGGGGTGCTAGGAGCCTGGAGGGGAGAGCGTTCCCGGAGGGCGTGGAGCAGGCACGCGTGGAAGCGGTTGATGTGAGTCGAACAGGTCGATGGGAATGGGAGGAATGGGTGTGATGTGTGTTGTTGTGTCGATGGGACAAGATGGGAAGGTTTTGAGCCTGAGTTGTTGCTGGCAACCCTTTCATGCCGTGTAGATTGGAAGATTGTTCAAGCCTTTCAAGTCTTTCACTCTTGTGCGCTTGTCTGCCCGTGACATCCCACCTAACACTTTCACCCTCCTAGCTCCAGTCTCCCTGAGCGTCGACAGTGAGAACGGCAGAGACGTGAGTACATGGAGGGGTGAGTGCTCGTTGCTCCTGCCTCAACTACTCTCTTAACCATTCCCACCCGCGATGTTTGTCCCACCAGGCATGTCTGATGGTGGAAGGAGAGGACGACACAGAGCACATTGAAGCGTGTGTGGAGAAGAGTGTGGAGGCTGCTGCCTTGGGGATGGCACCCCTATGTCGGAGCAGAGCTATTAGAGCCTCCCTGGGGTTGTTCCTTCGTGTTAGATTGAAGTCTGTTGGTCATGTTTCGGAGGGGATTAGTGTGATTCAATATCAGTATGTTCAGGGGTTGCTGTCATATGATGTGGCAATGAAATGGAAATCTGAGGAGTGAAATGTGCCTCACTTGTGTATACACGTTTATACTACAGCCAAAGTTACGTTGAACTTGCACGCACCCAAAGCTAGGCTGCTGGTTTGGCCTGCGGCGTTGTGGCGTGGAGGCCAATACCTGGGACCTTCCAGAGATGTTTAGGGCCCATTTTCACAAGCAGGTGCCTCAACGCAAATTTCCCGCCAAGACGAAGTTGACCCACACTGCTTGTTTGCGACACGTTACGAAAAAAGGTAACATGCCCTTTATCGAAGGAATGCCAGATCAGTGTTCCAATTATCTGCGATGGGAAATACTGTGGGTGGGGTCACTCATGTGGGAATTGATGGCAGCGAATAAATAAATTTCTGCACTGCGCGGTTTCACTTTGTGACACCTAGCATTCCACTGTTCCGACTGGCGTCACAATCAATTTCGAACCCCTCCGAGAAGCAATCTATTGGAATGCGGCCTCGCTTTGACAACCTGTGGAACTCATCGAATCTAAGTCTCGCTGCGTCCGCTGTGTACAGGAACAGTAGTGTGTGAGGTTTCGCTCCCCCGAGCACAATCCCTCAATCAGTTCCTGTGCTATTGGCTGTACACTCAGCACGATTTCCCTTGCACTCTCAGCATGATTTCCCTTGCACTCAGCATCATTTCCCTTGCATGCACTCTCAGCATCATTTCCCTTGCACTCTCAGAATGATTTCAGCGAGTCCCTCTTCTTGATCACTTCCTTCCAGCCGACGCTCCCCTTCCACTCCGAGTGACTTTCTTCTGAAGCAACCTCAGGCCACACTGCTTGTTTGCGACACTCCTCGAAAAAGGGTTGGTTTGCTGTCGAAGCAATGCCAAGAATGTGAGTCACGCTGCTATTGACTGGTGAAGTCTTGCTTCTAGCGAGCAGGAGTATTGACAAGTCCTCCTGTGCTATCGGCTGTATCACACGAGTCTTGCGAGGTCTGGCCGTCACTCCCCACCAACTACTATCCCGAAAACTTACGGACTCGCCTCCCCTTCCAATCTCTAGTGAGGACGAAGCATTGGTCCATCGCAATGGCAGTGGGGGCTGTGTCGCAGCGGAAACGCGACGACCTCCAATCAAGGATTAGTGGTCCTATTCCTCATCAGGGCAGATTCGTTTCGGACGCTCGTCGCATCCTGCCCCTGCCCTGGGCGACTGAAGGGGGGACTCGTCGCACACCATGGACAGCGTCGCGGCGAAGACAGTCGTCGGCTCCACTCGCGCCGAAGCTTTGAACCAGAATTCGCTTCTCCTGCTCCCTACTAAGGAGGTATATTTACTCGCCGTTGGCCATCCACACCTCACAATTCCGACGTGGTCCTTCCCACAGTTTTTTTCATCCACCAGCAAACGGTGCTAGTACCGCCGGGGCCTCTCTTGCACTAGTATCCGACCGAGACCCCTGAGCAACAGCTGCCGCATCGCAATGGCCGCAACGGCCGCCGTCGGAGCGCGCCGCGCCACGTTCTCCTCCGCGGGGCGGCTTCTCCCCATGCTCGTCCTCGCATTGCTGCTCCAGGCGCCCTCCGCGTCCGCCCGCCACTGGTTCTGGAACGACGCCCTCTTCCCCGTCGCCGCCACAGGCGAAACGAAGCCCGCCGCCTCATTCACCGCAGAGACCGAGGGAGCGGCGGTGGGGACTGCCGCGACGCCAGCCCCGGTGGCGGCGCCAGCACCGGCGCCGGCTCCTGCGGTGTCGTGCTACGACGCCCCTGTTGGCCGTTACATCGCGTCCGGAGCCGCGCCCGACCCGTGTGCTGCGCTGGCGGCGGAGCTGAAGCGCACTGCCGGAGAATTGGGGGGCACGACCGTGACTGGAGGGCTAGGATTCGCGGCTCCTTCTCTCTTCAGCGCGTGCCACTCCACGTTCCTGTTCAGGTACTGTCACTGCTTGTCTTGTACTGTGAATATATTTTTTCTCTCTCTCTCCCTCTCTCCTTATCAACGCTAATAATGGCTACTGAAACCGAACTCCACGCTTCCTCCGCTCGAATATGTTGGCCTAATTGCGGTTCTACGATTGCCACGGTCGATCTGGCAGGAAGGACTGCGACGTGGCGGACCTTCTGTCGATCGCGAACGCGTTTGATAATCACTATATGTACAAGCACACCGCAATGGACTCGCCGGACCAGACCAACCTGCCGAGCATCATCGATATTGTCGCAGAGCTGAGAAAGATCGTCGCGAACGCCAGCGCGGGAAAGTACCCACTGAAACAAGGCTACGGCGCAGCCCCCATGGCGCGGCTGGCCTAGCCCGCCATATAGCGACGGTGGCGTCGTAGCATGAAGAGAAAGAAGAAGAATGAGTAGTGGCAGCGGAAGAGCTAAGCTAGAAGTAGAAGGCGTGATCCTATATGGCAAGAAGATAGAATAGAATGATAAGATGATACGAAGAAGAATCGGGGAGAGATCTTTATGCTAGGGAGAATGAACGCGGCTCGGAAGGAAACCCGCGTCGTCACATTTCTAGCATGGCATCTTGGCATAGCGCCTCGATGCCACGCTCTGTTGGATTCTAGTACCTTCTAATCAGTGACGAGGATAAGGGAATACATCCCGAGGTTAGCACCTATCTCAATTCGGAGTTCACTAGGGAGTGGAAGCTCTAACCGTTCGGGTATTCCCATGCACGCAGGCATGGCGAATCCCGTCTTGTAACACCCACGGCTGGTTGACGCGCACATGGCGGCGTTCCGGGCGGTGTGGGCGCTCAACGACGGGCACACCTCGTTCATGCCGCTATGCTTCAAGGGATCATTCAACTTGCCGCTGCCGCTCATGGCTGTCGTCGAAAACGGGGAGCAGATCATTCGCGTTGCGCCGCGCCGATGTGAGTGTTGCTCAATATACTCCCTCCCGGTGAGGATTGTTGAATGAAAAACCCTGGTTGAGTATGCCACGTTGCGCTTTGCCGCGTTGCGCCTCGCCGACCTGAGTGTTGCAGTGTGCGAGTTCACACCTCTGGTGGTGAATTGTTCCAACTGTTCATTCATCATATTCCTTGGCACCCAACTGCAGAGCATAGCACCCCTAAATATCAAACTCCGTGTTCCTCTTATGTATTTCCTCTGGCCAGATGTCACTCCCAGCGGGATAGACCTTGTTGTGAAGGCCCTTGTCAATTTTGACTTCGGCCTTTACGAAGGCCGACAGGTATGTTCGTTAGCTAATCTCCGTGTTCCTATTATTTAATACATCCTGCAATCGAACTGTACACGCTTCATCTAAACTAATGCTTCATGATGTGCGTCGCAGGTGGTGGCTATAAACGGGGTCAAAGCGGAAAACTTCATCCTGAATTGGGCAGACAAGGAAGTGGGCCTGTTTCGCAATCTCGCTTCGCGATTCACGCTAGCTTTCGCGAGGAATGAAGCGGCAGGAACGTTGAAAGGGACGAACATCGTCCAGGTGCCAGGCAGCTTCGCCCGGCGACTCTTTGCTCCCGAAACGGACGCCTTACTGGTGTCCTTCGCAACAGCGTGAGCTACAGTACTTGATGTTGGCTCTTACTTTTGCTGCATGTGCTGTTTACTCTTCTGGATTCTTCCCTACAGCAAGTTGAGTTCAGCTCACTCGTTCTCCTAAACGGTCCTCCACGCTTCATGTGTCCCCCTTCCCACCCCACCTGTTCTCCTTTTTGCTGCAATTCCCAGGGATGGAAATTCGACGGAAGACGTACAGGTGCCATGGATGGGGACAGCTGGGCTTGATCTCTTTGCAAATGCCACGGAGTACTGGAAGTCGTACTGTGCCGTGAAGGACCCATCAGTTACTGGTGGCACAAGCGCGCATGCAAGCACGGTCGGTCATGCGGACACTCCAATGATTGACCGGTTTCTCGAACGCCATCCCGCTCCAGTCTACTACCACGACGATACGAGCGATGGCAGCGGCGATGACCTGAATGTCGAGATTGCGTCGCTTTCTGCTGCAGCAGCGGGACCGACCGTAACGAGGATCTCACCAACAACTGATAATTATCTGGTGAGCGGGAAGGCGTCAGTCGTTGGGATGAATGGTGGATGCTGTGTTGATTCTTGCATGATGGGTGCTTGGGTTGTTAACTAGTTGTTAATCTATTGACCCCTGGGGCTTGCCGTGTGTGCCGGTTGGTGTGTGTGTGTGTCATCTAGGGACTAGGGTGTAACAGCAATTGAGTGCCATGTGATATGCTCTGATCTGAGGCGACAGCCACACTTAGGCGAGCCTATAACGCCCGTCCAACTTGTTTGTTTGTGGGTGTGGGAGTGCATATGCGCGCGCGTGCATGTGTGCATGTGTGCATGTGTGCATGTGTGCATGTGTGTGCATGTGTGCATGTGTGCATGTGTGTGCATGTGTGCATGTGTGCATGTGTGTGCATGTGTGCATGTGTGCATGTGTGCATGTGTGCATTCGAGCAGGTATACCTGGTGGGCGGCAGCACGGCTGTGGTCTGGATTCACCAGTTCGCTGCCAAGGGCGAGGTGTCGCAGGCGTTGGAGGCGAAAAACATTGATGAGGAGCAGTATATGATTAAGGAGGTCACTAAGGCTCTCAATACCGCAGCAGCGTCAGTACTCCTCTCCACCTCCCCCCTTCCTTCTACTCTACTACCCCTCCAGCCCTGCTGCCTTCCCCACTCCATGTCTCATGCTAGTACCCTGCTCTCATCTCATCACTCACGAGACATTACACCCTCCCCCCCCCCCCCCCCCCCTTTCTCCCCTTATCTACCCTAAACCATGTACTCCTCTCCCACCCCATTCCTTCCTTCTACTACCCTCTCCAGCCCCTATCCCGCCCGTCCCCACTCCATGTCTCATGCTAGTACGCTGCCCTTTCGCTACTTGCCCCCCTTTCCCCCATGCCTCTGTCCATGTCTCTTCCCTTGAATCCCCCATTATTCCCCCGCACATCCTCCCTTGCGTTACCCCATGCCTCTTCCCATGTGTGCCCACATGCGTCATCCCATGCCCCCCACCCCTTCCCCCCCCCCCTCCCCTTTCAGATCCAACGCCTCGCAGATCATCATAGACGTGCGTGGCAACGGTGGCGGCCACACCGGAGCAGTATACACAGCCCTTCGCCTCCTCATGGGGGCAGCCAAGGTCCCCGACTCTGCCTTTGCCCTGCCTGTGGATTTCGTTGTCGACACGCAGTACACCGAGAAAGCCGTCGGTGTCCTCGCCATCGACTCTGAATCGCTGTACTACGTAGATATGTTCACCGACCTCAACGGGACCGACCTCTCGAGCGCCTTTGACTACGCTCCTTTCCGCAAGCTCCGCTTCACAGAGGCCGGCCCCGCTGGGAACTACTCGGCGCCGTTCAAGCAGAATTTAACATTCACCGGAAAGCAAGAGCAGCCGGTGTTTGGGGACCGCCCCTTCCTGGTCCTGTCGGACGGATACTGCTTCTCCGCCTGCGCCATCCTCACGCACGTCTTGGGGAAACGCCACAAAGTACCCATGGTAACCGTGGGTGGTTTGCCCAACCAGCCCCCTGATGTGGGCTCCTCGTGCCTCGGGTCTACTAATACGGACATCTATGCGATGTCACCCAGCCTCTCCAAGCTTGCTGCCCAAATGCCACAGAACGCGTCGCCGCCTCTCAAGGTGAAAGGGGCGGTTGGCATGGCGTTTACCAACGGGTATGTGGATTCGGAGATTCCGTGCGAGTTTGAGTTTCTGCCCAGCCAGCATCACATCAACTACACCGTTGATCTCATTGACAAGCCCTGGGCCATGTGGAATGAGGTGGCCAAGCTCTTTAACTCCGCTGCAGCAGCCTAGTCCATTCATCAGGCGCCCCTGCCTGCGGTTGACACCAATGCACCTCAATTCATGCCCTTCTATGTGTGGTGTTGTGTTGGCTGAAAGTGAGGCTCCTGCTATATTAGCTGATGGTGGTGGTGAATGTTTTCGTGCTTATGGTGGGTATGTTGATGGATGGTGATTGATGTGCTGATGGTGTTTATTTTATTATGATTAGTCGTCGTACTGTATCCTGTCATGCAAATGTGGGTGGTCTAGCTGGGTGAGGTGAGGTGCATTTCCTGTATCATTTACTAGGTTTCACAGATGGTACTGCTGCTGTGGCTGATTTTCTGATGTTTAAAGTTGTGGTTGTGGCTGTACACTCCTGTTTCAAACACATGTAATGGATGCTCGCTCCCAGCCACAATCTTATTTCTCTATGTAGAATTGCACTGGCTGTTTGGACACAATGAATATCATAACTCCCTGTCCTGTACACCCCTGTTTCTTTTGTTCCGACTTTTTGTCTGTGTCACATGATCGGCGTGCTTGTTCAACCAGGTACTCGCATAACGAAGAATTCCGGGTCGCGTGGGTGGGGTGATTAGCTTGGCCTTGCAGTGCAAAACGCAAGTTAGCATCTTGGCGGTGTCCTGCAGGCACTCGTTCGATCCCACATATTGTTAGGAAACGCCATGGCAACATCCGTGTTCGACCCGTGTGGGTCGTTGGCGTGGTTCGTGCGGCTTAGCGGAACCGAGACGCCGCAGTTTTAACGAGAGTTTGTAGCGCAAGCACGACGCACTGACGGACACGGGCTGGTTGACGAAACCACCCACGGTTACCATGGGTACTTTGTATCGTTTGTATCTGCATGATAAGGCGAGGTGCTTGTGATGGTGCCTCGTGTCTCACAACTCCTTGTTATGCCTTCTCACTTCTTGTGACGGCCCTTGCCCCTTGTTGTGATGGACATCTTACTTGTAGCTCGTTGTTTTCTGCTTCCTGCATCCATGTTACTCTGTGCTGCTCCCCCTATACCAGGTGGTGCGCTGGAGCGGCAGCAGCTGGTGGACAGCCGCACCTGGTGGGCGGCTCCTGCCCCTGGCGGATAGCCGCACCTGGTGGGCTTTTCCTGCACCTGGCGGGCTGCTGCACCTGGCGGGCTGCTAAATCACCAGGCGGCAGCAGTATCACCTGGCCGCGTGCAGCTGTACCTGATGTCCTTCAGCAGCTCCCCCTAACGCCCTGCAGCACCTCCACATGTGCACCAGCAGCTGGTTTCTCTCAAGGACAACTGATGGCGCTTGACAGCTGCAGCGCATGGCTTATGGCAGCTGCACCAGCGGCTCCTGGAAGGCAGCAGCAGCTCCAGCGCTTGGCGCCCTGCAGCACCATGGTGAGGAAAACTTCCAGCTTTCTTCTCTTGCCTTGTGCTGTCCTGTCTTGAATGCACACTAGAGTGTTGCACCATTGAAGTTGCTGCACACTTTGACTCACACCATTGTTGTCTTTCTTCACTCCCCCTGAAACCAGCAGGTGCTTTGTATCAACCAGCGACCTTGGCGATTCAAGTCAGTAGCTGCGACTATCTAGCAGAAAAGCTTTCGGCTGCGGCTGCTTCCCATGCCTTGTGTATTCATTGCAGTAGGTTTCATCCTGACACTTGTCTTCGTTTGTGACCTGAAGAATGAAAAATGAAAAATGAACTCCCAACTCTTCTTTTGTTGCAGCCCAAGGTACTCCACACCCCACTCCCCCTCTCACTCGTGAGTTTGTCAGCATGTATGCATGTGAGCACGCACACAGCAACAAACACACGAGTGAGGCATGTGGAGTTACGTGATGCCCTGTTGTCCAGCACCCCTTAAGAAGCCCGAACATGTGAGTGCAGCTCCAGCGCCTTCAATCTGCTGACTGGTAGCAGGCGGTGTTCCAGGCGGAATTGGTTGGAGACCGCACAAGAGGCTGCAGGTGAGATGTTGTTTTGCTGTGATGGGTTTGGTGAGGTAATCAGCTGCTTGCTGGGCTGTCGGGCAGTACTCCGGCCACACAACACCATCGCGGACTGCCTTCCGCGTCCAATGGTAACGGACTTCCATGTGTTTGATGCGTTGACTCATCTGCTCCCTTGTTGCAAGCGCAATTGCGCTTTGGTTGTCCACAAAGATGACAGTGGGTTCTTGCTGTGGGAAACCGAGGTCTTCACACAAGCGCCGAAGGTAGGTAGCTTCCCTTGCCCCTTCGAACAGTGCAATGTATTCTGCTTCAGCTGTTGATGTTGCAATGACCGTTTGTCGCTTTGTCCTCCAACTGACAGCAGCTCCTCCCAAGGTAAACACGTAGCCTCCAACCGAGTGACACCCCACTTCGTTCGCATAGTCTGAGTCCGTGTATCCCCGGAGCACCAAGTCCCCTCTTCCATAAACCAGCCCCACATTCGCGGTGTTCTGTAAGTACTTGAAGACACGCTGAATCCCAAGCACGGTTGCAGCTGTTGGCTTGCCAGCTTGTCTGGCCAGCACATGCGTTGCATAGGTTATGTCCGGCCTCCCTGCTGTTGAGATATACAGCAATGTCCCCACCTGTTTTAGCACCAATTGACTGTCAATCTCGTCTGGTGGTTCTCCTTGTGGTCCAGGTTCCTTGGTGATTGGCGTCTTGACTCCGGAGCGACTGCCTTCCATCCCGAAGGTCGCCAAAGCCTGTGAGATGTACTTTGTGAGTCCGAGCGAGATCGAGTCGTTGTCAGCAGCGACGTTGAGCCCCAAAAATTGCGTCATTGTCTTGCTGATGGTCAAGGTAAAGTTCTGCTTCAAGTGTTGAATCACAGCTTCAATGCCTTCGTCGTCATGAGACTGGATGAGGATATCGTCAACGTAGGTGAGAAGCCACACAGTGTCATTTCCTTCTCTTTTCCAGATAAATAAGGACGGGTCAGATTCGGATTGCACCATGTCCAGCTCCAACAAGACACCCCGTAAGTGCTGATGCCACAAACGTGGTGCTTGTTTCAGTCCATACACACTTCTTTTGAGTTTCCAGACTTTGTCTCCGTCCCGCCTTGGTTCTGGTGGTCTCACGTATATGTCCCGGTCGATTGGGGCGTACAGGAATGCGTTGGAGATGTCCAGTTGCACCACCTTCCGCTTTGTAGCAGATGCACCAGCAACGAACATGCGAGAGGTAGGTCCTTGGCTGACCGGTGCATACGTCCCATCGTATGTTCCCCATGTCTGTCCGCATCCCTTGACCACCCATCGCGCTTTAAACCGGTTTGGCTGTCCCTGCTCATCTCGTTTCACCCTTAGAACGACTCCTTCCGTCAGCACCGTCGTTCCTTTTGGTACGTCCGCTCTGTCCACCACTTCGTATGCTTCCAGCTCATCGAATTTAGCCAATTCTGCATCTACCGCGGCTTGCCAAAGAGGTGCGTACGGGTCTTTTGTCATGTCCTTGAGCGTTTTGGGCTCCTTGTACGTCAATTCCACCATGGGGATGTCGGTTGCTGCACATCTTAGCACGTGTTGCTGCAAGTTGGGAAGGTTGTTGAACGCTTGTGCTGCCTGCTATTTCCCAAACAGCACGTCCAGTCCTGTCATGCTGTCCGTCCCTTGTCCTTCTCCTCCAAGCACAGTCACGGTTGGGTTGAAGTGAACCCGCCGTGGAGTCGCGTCATGAGCTGCTAGCTCGATCCCATCAGGTGGGTATGCAAAGTCATAGAGATGACTTGCCTCATTCTCCATTTCGTTGCTTTCAGCACCTTCAGGAACAGAGACGCCAGCTGGAGGCAAGTCACTTGCTGCATCCCCTTCTCCTTTATTGGCTGCGTCGTTAATGGGTGAATCCTCTTGATTTACGTCAGCTTCCTGTCTTCGTGTAGTTGATGTGTCTGTGGGCGACGTAGGCGATGATGAGGATGCGGGATATGAGTCAAACTCGGACCCAAAGCCTTCTCTCCCTGAAGTCCAACTGTCGATGTGAGGTGAGACTTCTTCCATGTAGCGGTGGCGTTCGAGTACCGATTCAGCGTCCGGAATCATGAGGTCATCAAAGAAGCGAGCTGTGCGTGTATCCGTGTCAACATCGCTTGCCAAGTCCCGCACGATCCATGCCTTCCGAGCGTTGGAGAGTCCAAGGAACATCCCAACCCTTCCTCTTTGCTCGAACTTTCCAAAACTGCCTTGGGGAGGGAGGTAGTAGCAGAGGCAGCCAAAGGTCCTTGCCATTGAAACATCTGCCGACTTTCCCGTCATCATGAAGTACGGTGAGTGTGCTGATGGGTTGCTGCTGCATCTGATGCGGTTGTGTAACCATGCTGCATACTCCAGCGCATAAGGCCAGAACTTCGAAGAAAGGCTGGCTCCGGTAGTCATTGCACGCACTCGGTCCATGAGTGTGCGGTTAACCTGTTCGGCAACTCCATTCTGCTGCGGCGTGTGTGGTAAAGACGTTTGGTGACTGATACCGTGAGAACTCAGGTAATCCGTGAATGCGTTTGATGTATACTCCCCCCCGTTGTCCGTGCACAAGGCAGCCAGCGGCGTCTTGGGCAGCTTGGTCTTCATCTCATGGTACCAAGCCGAGAAAACTGCAGCCATGTCGGACCGGCGAGCCAACGGCGCCACCCACAGGTAGTTGGTGTAGTCGTCCTTGAGCGTCAGCACATAACGAAGTGAAGGGTGAGCATCACCCAGGTCCATGATGTCGCTATGCACGAGCTCCAAAGGTCGAGTTGTGCCCTTGGTACGTCCTGTGGGAAAGGGGGCCTTGCTCATCTTCCCTCGAAGACATGAGTCACATGGGGGTTTGAGAGGGTTAATCTTGTCGGATATGGTGAGTCCTTCAACATCACCATTCCGAAATGTTGCATCTATGGATGTGTATGATGGGTGACCCAAGCGCTTGTGGGCCATGCGGTATGTGATGGATGCATGCGCAGAAAGTGGATTCAGCCCTTTATGACCATGATCATGCGATGCGTCATCCTCATGGAAATGGTCAGATTCATGGGCAGATGCAAGTGCAGGCTCATACTGCACCATGAGCACACCATGCATGATCATTCCAACCCCAATGACCACATGCTTATCGTCAGCCGCCATAGTAATCTCCGTGCGTCCGTCATCACGGGTGCGAATCCGAGCTCCTTTGCTGGTGAATTATCTCCACGTGCTTGGCCAGCCATGCGGGGAGGACGCTTGTCACGGTTGGTCTTGCTAATGAGGTCTTGGTAGCGTTGTTCCTGAATCATCATTCGTTGTAGTGCGTAGCTGTCCGAGATGTCGTGTAGCATTGCCGAATGCCTCAACTCCTCCCAATGCGGCGGCAGCCCGGTAATCAAATTTAAGGTGAACGAATATTCATCCACCATTTTTCCCGCCATTGCCAGCTTGTCCCGAATTGCAGTTGCTCGATTGATGTATTCCTCCACTCGTTCTTGGCTCCCCATCTTCAGGTTGTCCAATTGCCTCTGGAGAGATGCCTTTGCCACCGAATCCTTCGCCTGGTAAGTCTCCATCAGGTACTCCCATGCTTCGAATGCCGGACTGTATGACTCTTGGAATACGTCAAGTTGCAGCTGAATCGTTGCGCTCACGCTATGCAGAAGCACCCAAAAAGCCAGCGTAGCACGTTGTGAGTAATCTGCTTGTAGAACTTCCAGCCGTTCCATTGCATCTCGCATTTCTCCATTCACCATTGTAACCGGGTATTGTAGCGTCACGAAGAACTCCCATAGGTTTGTCACGCGCGCGTTCATGCGAAACCGAAGAGCCCACTCTCGAAAGTTAGTGCCGTCGAATGGAGTTGTTGTGAACGCTTTGTCCACCGCTGCTCCCACCATCTTGCGTGACAACCTGTCCTTGTCTTCTTCCGTGTACTCGCGTGGAGACGGGTCGAAGAGCGTAGGCACGTTAGATGGTCGAGGCAGTTGTACCGTGCGTTGTGTGCTTTCACGTTCCACCACTTCCACTTGATCACGTTGCATAACACCACTTGACTGCATCCCGTGCCCCATGCGCCCCATGCTTCCCGCAGGTACAGCTTCCATTTGAGACCGTGGCGCACGAGGAGGTACGACGTTGTTGCCAGAAAGTTGAGATCTGCCCATCACGGGAACTCCAATGGGATGGGAGTTAGTAGCAAGACGTCGTAGTGGGGGAGCACCAATAGTGTAGGATTCGAATCCCACACCTTCCATGCCCACATGACTGCTTCGACCACTCCCTTCACCAATCTGCCCTCTCATGTTTCTTCCCACGCCGATCCCATCACCATGCTCCATCACATTCGTTCCACTCCCGTACGCATCATCCCTCCCCGTTGCTTCCCTTTGCATGGTTGATTGAGGTTCGGGGTGGGAGCTCCCCTCTCCTTGGAAGGATGCATCCCTCCCTTGGGATGACTCTCCTCCTTGGGGTAAGCTTCCCTCTCCTTCACCTTCAATCCCTGCATCCATATTTGAAGCATGGGTTTGGTTAGTACGCGGAGTGCTTGCATGTGACTGTTCACGGATGGATGGGTTGCTGAAATCTCGAACTTGGGCTGGCATGTTGAACTTTGCTCTTAATGACGCTTGGAGTGTCGGTGGTGCCCTTGCAATCATGTTCTCCAGGTGCTCATGCTGAGCCATGATGGCTTCTTCAAACGCCTCGTATCCAGCATCGACTTCATCGTCGAACCGCGCCATGCCTTTAATCCAAATGTTGTTACTTGCTGTGCGAGTTTGCTAATATGCCTGTCCAATGTGAATGCTGATAAGGTTCTGACCAAATTTCGGCAGCATGCCCCCTAGAGTAGCTCTGATACCATGCTAGAAAGGCATAGTGCCGTCGTAGCGGAAGCCTTGATTGTAGAATGGATAGCAAGAGAAACTTGTAGCTGAAAAGATTCAGAACAATGGATTGATTATGAAATGACAGAGCAGGGTATTTATCTGAGTAGCTAACCCTTTCAGGATGGCTCTATCCATACCAATAATGCCACACCAATAATTCTACCCGCCAATAATTCTTACCCTCCAATAATTCTAGACTCCAATAATTCTGGCCCTCCAATAACTGTACAATTATTGGAGGGCTGAGAGTCTTATAAAGGAACACTACAGTAAAACCTAACAGCATTTGTATCATCTTATGTTTGTATATTTAACATTTCAAACACATGTAATGGATGCTCGCTCCCAGCCACAATCTTATTTCTCTATGTAGAATTGCAATGGCTGTTTGGACACAATGAATATCATAACTCCCTGTCCTGTACACCCCTGTTTCTTTTGTTCCGACTTTTTGTCTGTGTCACATGATCGGCGTGCTTGTTCAACCAGGTACTCGCATAACGAAGAATTCCGGGTCGCGTGGGTGGGGTGATTAGCTTGGCCTTGCAGTGCAAAACGCAAGTTAGCATCTTGGCGGTGTCCTGCAGGCGCTCGTTCGATCCCACATATTGTTAGGAAACGCCATGGCAACATCCGTGTTCGACCCGTGTGGGTCGTTGGCGTGGTTCGTGCGGCTTAGCGGAACCGAGACGCCGCAGTTTTAACGAGAGTTTGTAGCGCAAGCACGACGCACTGACGGACACGGGCTGGTTGAGGAAACCACCCACGGTTACCATGGGTACTTTGTATCGTTTGTATCTGCATGATAATGGCGAAGGTAGAGAAGCAGTTGCCATCCGCCCAAAAAAAGAGGAAAAAAGAAGACGGCTGTGCGCTAAAACATGGCTCAGACGACACTTGCATCTCCGCCAGGACGCCATGATTAGTTTATAATAACGAACCTTCAAATCCGCGGTATAGGTGTTTTTTCGCAGCCTGCGATGGTGAAGGAAAAGCTTTGCAGCGGCGTGTAGTAGTTCTTAGCGGACCAGCGCAGAGACGCGCCGTCAGCGGGTTGCGTGTAGCCGGCTGTAGCGCAGTTGGAGAGTCGTTCCGCGGTGCTCCGCGGTGGTCAAGCCACAAGTACCCCTGTTAACCGCGGGTGGTTAGCGTGATCTGGGGATGGCCTGATCCGCCATGGGGCTCCACGTGAAGATAGTGCTTATAATAAAATCCATGGGTAGGTTGCGTCCGCTAGTAGAGGCACGCTCCGCGCCACGACGTGGCGAGCGGGGCGACGACGAGCGTGACGGAGCCCAGCGCGTTGAACCCGCCGCCATTCACGCGCGCGTCGAAGAGTACCTCCACGCAATTGGTCCTGCGCGGAGCAGGGAAGCGCGGAGACGATTTTTGAGGCGCCTCAAAAAGAGTACCTCCACGCAATTGGTCCTGCGCGGAGCAGGGAAGCAGGGGGTTGGGGGTGCGGGGAGGGGGGGGAGGGGAAGAGGAGTTGGGGGAGGGGAGGGGGAAGTTGTGGGGAGGGGAGAATTGGCGGAGGGGGTTCTGAACAGCCTGATTGATGGATAGGAGGAAAGCATGTGTAGGATGGAGGGAGGAACACGAGGAGAGTCCCACAACGGTAGGCGAAGCAGGTGAGGAGGAAGACGAGGTGAGGAGGAATACGGGGTGTACGAGGGAGTGGAAGGAGAGAAAGGGAGGAGAGGAAGGGAGCGGAGGAGTTTCAGAAAGGGAAGGATGAGCGGGGGGAAGTGAGCGGGCAAGGGGAGGCAGGAAGGGGAGGAACAACAGAGCGGGGGAGCGCAGCGGGGAGGGGAGGAGCAGCAGAGGGGGGGGTGGTTGGTGAGGAGGGGGGGAGCAATAGAGGGGGAAGGATTGGAGGGGATGGGGAGGAGCAGCAGAGAGGGGGGAAATGGCGGGGAGGGGCAGAGCAACAGGGGGAGGGGAATGGCTGGTGGGGGATGAGCAGCACAGTGGAGAAAGCAGTGAGGCGGGGAGGAGCAGCACCGATGGGATTCAGCTGCACATAATGTGGGGGCTTGCTTGTATTAGGATCCTGAGTGCAGCTGATACAAGCACGCCCCCTACCACATCTCCATTCTCCTCTACCCCTCCCCTCCCCCCTCCACCCCCATCCCCACCCACCCCACCGCCCCACTCCGCCTCCCCACAAGCAGCAAGAAGGTGGCGGTGATTGGGAGCGGCCCAGCAGGGCTGGCAGCGGCGGATACTTGGGACTCATGCTCAACAAGCATGGGCACACGGTGACGGTCTACGAGCGTGCTCACCTTCCCTTTCCCCCGCCCCCCTCCCCTCTCCCCCCTCTTACAGCAAGAAGGTGGCGGTGATTGGGAGCGGCCCAGCAGGGCTGGCAGCGGCGGATACTTGGGAGCCGTGCTGATGAACAAGCGTGGGCACACGGTGACGGTGTACGAGCGGGCGGGCCGCGTCGGCGATTGGCAGTGGCCCCGCAAGTCTAGCCGCAGCGTACCAGCTGAACAATCGAATCGAGAGCACACGGTGACCGTGTACAAGCGTGCAGACCACATGTGGCATGCGCCCCAACGCCCCCCTCCCCCTCCCCCACCCACTTCGGACGAGGCGATTCCGGTGGACCTTGCACTCCTCGCCATGGGTTTCCTGGGCCCGGAGCAGGTCCGTGCTTGCTTGCCGTGCGCTGCTGCTGTGCTGGGTGTGCTGGGAGTGCGGGATTGTAGGGAGTGTGCACACCTCAGGGCAGTGTCTGTAGGTGTGTGCTACGCCGGGTCCGAGGAGGAGGTGGTTCCCGTCGACCTCGCGCTGCTCGCCATGGGTTTCCTGGACCCGGAGCAGGTCAGTGCTGGCTTGCCTGGGGTGTGCTGGGAGTGTGGGAGCTGTGGGGGTGTGGGATGTTAGGGAGTGCGTCCACCTCATGGCAGTGTCTGTAGTTGGGTGCTACGCCGGGTCCGAGGAGGTGGTTCCCGTCCACCTCGCTCTGCTCGCCATGGGCTTCCTGGGCCCGGAGCAGGTCAGTGGCGCTGCTGGGAACTTAAGTGGTTGTAAGTGGTTGGGGTGGTGGTAGTGTTGGTGGGGGTCGATGGTGATTCCGGTGGACTTGGCGCTGCTCGCCATGGGCATCCTGGACCCGGAGCAGGTCAGTGCTTGTAGCGCTGGAAATGCTGTTACAGTGGTGTGGGAGTAGTGCGAGTGTTGGGAATGGATGTTGGGAATGAATGAACATCAGTTTCAACCCCTTGCCTCCCCTCTCCTCTCCTCCCCTGGCTGCAGAACGTGGCGGAGAAGCTGGGGCTCAAGACGGACGCGAGGAGCAACTTACCTGACCCCAGACCCTGGCTGGGCTCCCTTCCCTGCTCATCCCCTGAACCCAACTCTGCCTCCTTCCCCTCCCATCCCCACCTCCCCTGGCTGCAGAACGTGGCGGAGAAGCTGGGGCTCAAGACAGACGCGAGGAGCAACTTCCAGGTGGACTACGGGCAGTTCGCCACCAACCTGGAGGGCGTCTTTGCTGCCGGCGACTGCCGCCGTGGACAGGTGCGGCCCAGCAGTTGTCCTGTTTCACCATGCTCCTTTGCCTGTCCGCGACTGCCGCCGCGGCGGACAGGTACCGCCTTGCCTCGCTTTGTTTCTAGTTGGTGCAATCGACCTGTACCATCCATCAGCTGCCCCCGTGTTTTGTTCTTGCCGCTCCTCACCCCCTCCTATCGTCCCACTTTCCCCCCTTTCCCCTGCAGTCTCTGGTGGTGTGGGCTATTGCGGAGGGCCGTGGCGCAGCGGCCAACATTGATGCATATGTGATGCGCAACGAGGAGGTGGACATGGCACCGTAGGAGAGGGAGCTCGTGGCGGTGGCTGCCAGGAGTGTTGCTGCCCTGTCGACGCTGCTGAGCGGAGCGCTGCCACCAATGGCAGTGCCACTAATGGAAGTGCCACAAATGGGAGTGCCACGAAGGGGAGAGCGTTCCCAGAGGGCGTGGAGCAGGCACGCGTGGAAGCGGTGAGTTGAACGGTTGAAGGCGTGAGAGTGGGGATGGTGGGGGATGGGGATGGGCGGTGCGGGCTTGGGAGTCCTAGGAGCCTGGAGGGGAGAGCTTTCCCCGAGGGCTGGGAGGAGGTTGATGTGAGTTGGGACTGGGAAGGATGGGGGGGAATGGACAGGTACGGGATGAGAGTGATTGATGGGACTGAGAGGGATGGGGGGGAATGGACAGGTACGGGATGAGAGTGATTGATGCAGGTACAGGAGGGCTTTTGATCCAGGGCTCGGTCTTTGCTGTAACCACACTTTTCTGCATGCGATGTTGCACGGTGCACAATGAAAGACCGTGCACTCCTGTGAGCTGGTATGCCCTTGATACCCCACTAGCTAGTCCCCCTTAATGGCACACAAAGCAAAGACCAACCCCACCCTCCCTTCCCTTCCCCTCACCCCCACCCCACCTGTCACCCCCTTGTACCGCCAGGCGTGTCTGATGGTGGAGGGAGGGGACGACGCGGAGCACATCGAGGCGTGTGTGGAGAAGAGTGTTGAGGCTGCTGCCTTGGGGGATGGCACCCCTGTGTCGGAGCAGAGCTTTTAGAGCCTCTTGGCGCTTTCATGCTGGAATGAAGTCTGCTGGTTATATTTAGGAGTGGATTCGTGTGATTATAACACCAGAGTGATTCTATGTGGCAATCACAAATGTATACCTTATTGGGCTGCATGCATGAGATGGGAATTTACTGGAATTATGAACAAACTGTGGAAATGTTCCTGAAGTGTAAGGTGTGAAGTTTAATAAAGTTGCCATTCCAGTTTCGTCTAACGCGTACGCACCAGAATCCAGCCTCTCGGTTTGGGCCCATCTCAAACTCCCCGAAATGTTTCGGGCCCGTATTTGCGAGCAGGAGCCGCAACCACAGGTGACACAACCCTCAAAATCCAAGTCGGGTTACACTTGTTGCTCGCGACACTTGACCCTTGAAAGTGGTAACTTCTTTGAAGGAGTGCCAGGATCGCCAATTCCAGCCGTTCGCGACTGGAAAAAAGTCGTGGAAACCTGACAGCAATATATATGTAAATGAAAAAGGTTTAGGCATCCAGGATCCACACTGTGACACCTGGCATTCAACACTTCCAATCGACGTCACAATCAATGTAGAAATGGGCCCTTGCTCTGATAACCAAGGGACACGCAAAGTAGACTCTCTCATCCTATCGGCTGTATCAACTCACACAAAAGTTGGAAGTCTTGCGGGCTTGCGCAACCACTGATAATCAGATCCTAAGAAACTGCCTCGCCCATTCCAATCTGTAGCGAGATCGCAGGGCATGGGTCCGTCGCAGGGCTCTGGGGCTTTGTCGCAGGGGCGCGACGAACCGTCTCCATTCGAAGGATTACATCGTCCTTCCTCCACTCCAGGGCATATTCGATTCCGAATCGAACGCGGAGGCTCGGACGCTCGTCGCATTCCGCCCCTGCCGTCAGTGGTTTTGAAAATGAAGTAAAGGATGAGGAAGGGTAAATAGCAAAGAGAAAGAAAGAAAACGCCTAGAAGAAAAGTTAAGAAGACAAAGTTGATAAGATAAAGAAGCTCTTGAAGTAGAGATTGATTGATAATGGAAAGGCTTTAAATGAGAAGATTAAAGATAAGGTATTAATAAACTTGAAAGAAAGATGATGGAAACATTAAAGGGAAAAGAAAGATTAACTAAAAGGAAGATATTGAAAGTGGTTGATGAAGAGGTAAAGGGGCTTGAAAGTAAAACAAACTTGATAATAGCAAATGATATTTGAGAGGAAACGAGACTTGAATAAGAATGAAGAAGCTTTAAATAAAGAAGCTTGAATAGAGAAGAAACTTAAATAGAACAAAGAAGCTTGAATAAAGAAACTTGATAAGAATGAAAGAGGAAGTGACTTACCTTAAAAGAGTCGTACTTGTTATATTGAAGGAGTTTTGTAACTTGGAGAAGGCAAGCTTGGATTGTAGAACTTGAATGTTGAAAGGAGAATGAGATCCAAGCTTGAGTGTTGAATAGTTGATCTTGATTGTTGAGTGGAGAAGCACCTCCAAGCTTGAGTGTTGAATGGTAGATCTTGATTGTTGTATGGAGAAGAATCTCCAAGCTTGAGTGTTGAAGGGAAGAGCTTGAATCTTGATGATAAGAAAGGCAAAGCTTGGTGTTGAAGCATTGAAACTTAAAATGCACTAGTCCAAAGGAGGTACATGATGGACTTGAGGAGCAACCATTAATAACAATCTAGAAAAAAGACTATGAAGCATAATCTTCTCTAGAGTTGGAGAACATGACTATGAGCTTGGGTTGTGAGAGATTGGTGATATGAGTGGAGCCTTAGGAGTTGAGCATAAGGAGGAGGAATATGAAGGTGGCCTTGAGAGAGCTTGGAGTAGAACTTGTGGAGAGCTTGGGTAAGAACTTGCTTGAAAAGTATGAGTGAAGAATGGGGTGGACCCTTTGTTTTGTATTTGGTGGAGCTTGAGGTTGGATGAAGGAGGAGGAAAAGATGAGTGATTGTGATTGGATAAGATGGTGGGGATGAATGTAGCCTTGAAGTGAAGGCTTGGTGAGGAGAATGAATGTGTCCTTGATTTTAAGGCTTGGTGAATGGGATGAACTTGGCTTTTATTTTAAGGCTTGGTGAGTGGAATGAATGGGGCTTGAATTTGAAGGCTTTGTATGGAATCTTTTGTTTGATTGGTGGATGAAGGGATTAGAAAGATAATGAGGATAGGAGGGGAGATTAGGTGGAGGAATGATAGGTTTTGATTGGTGAAAAGGTGATGATGCTTTGCTGTCTGGAGATATGAAGGGTGTGGTGGCGAGTGGGCATTTTTGCAAGATGCCTTTTGTAGAATCGTATTTTGGCTGACGGGGAAACCGTGGCGAAAAAATTCGCCACGTGAAAAAATTTCCCGCCACCTTGGTGCCACGCGAGCAGCAGCGGCAGTTCATTCCAACACCCCCCCGCACTGCTGACCCTCAGAGCGAGATGAAGAAGGAGCGGAAGGGACAGCAGTGGAGAAGCACTCAAGAGACTCGAGCGGCACCAATCAAGCACGTTGGCGGCCAAGAATGAAGAGGTGCCGTGGAAGTATCTTAGTCAGAAAGTCAGCAGCCTGGTCCGTGGTGCTGCAGTAAGCCGGTGTCACAACCTTGTTCTTAATCAGCTCCCGAATGTAGTGATACTGTGTATCGATGTGCTTTGTGCGTCCATGATAGACCGGGTTCTTGCTCAAGGCGATCGCCGATGTGTTGTCAATGTGTAGAACGGTCGGCTCATGCTGGGGAAGACCCAACTCCGTCAGCAACCCTCTCAACCACACAGCCTCTCTTGCTCCTTGCGTCACAGCCATGTACTCCGCCTCCGTTGAAGATAGTGCCACACAGCCTTGTTTCTTCGACTGCCAAGAAATTGCTGCTCCCGCCATCACAAACATGTAGCCTCCCGTAGATTTGCGCTTTGAAAAAGGACCTGCCCAATCCGCATCCGTGAAGCCATGCAAGACACTACCATGCTCATGTCCATGAAAGAAGAGACCAAAGGATTGAGAGCCGGAGAGATAGCGCAGGACACGCTTCGCAGCGTTCAAGTGCTGAGTAGATGGTGAGGAAAGGAATTGAGAAAGCATGCCCACAGCTTGAGAGAGATCTGGGCGGGTGCAGACGGATGCGTACATGAGGCTACCGACAATGCTTTGGTAAAGATTAATGTCGAGGGGGGAAAGGAGTGATGAGGGAGGTGCGGTGGAAGAAGAAAGGGAACAAGAGGATGAAGGCGCAAGAGCCTCGTGAAACTCGTCCCAGTCAGAAAGGGGTGCAGACTGAGAGGGCTGAAGGTCAGAAGTGGAAGGAGAAGAATGCTGGAAGTTAGAAGGGAGAGGTGTAGATGCAGGATTGCAGGTGAGAAGGCCGAAGCGAGAGAGGACCTTGTGAATGTATCGCTCTTGTGAAAGAAATAGAGAGCGAGAAGGACGGTCACGAATGATGTTCATGCCAAGGTAATATGATGGCTCACCCATGTCTGTCATGACAAACTCCTTGGTGAGCATACCTTTGATGTGGGTGAGAAGGGAGAGAGAACCTGACACCATGAGGATGTCATCCACATACACGATCAACCACAGTACCTCATGCACCTCCGTGTGCAGAATGTAGAGTGCAGGGTCATACTCAGACTGTGTGAAACCTTGTGCCAGCAAGGCAGACTCTAGTGCGTGATACCAAACCCGTGGAGCTTGCTTCAGGCCATACAGGGACTTGTGCAGTCTGCAGACTCTCTCAGTACCATCGTGATACCCATCAGGTTGAGACGTGTAAATCTCCTCCTCCAAAATGCCGTAAAGGAAGGCGTTGGAGACGTCCAGTTGAATGATGTAGAGATCCATCCGTACTGCCATGCCAAGAAGAGCGCGGACACTGGTGTACTTGGCGACCGAAGCAAATGTTTCATTGTAGTCTTGTCCAGGAACTTGAGAATATCCCTTGGCGACCAAACGAGCCTTGAACTTGTCCAGGGATCCATCACCCTTCACCTTCACCCGGTAGACCCATTTGACTCCCACGAGCTTCTTTCCTTTGGGTAATGACTCCAAAGTCCAAGTCCCCCTGTCGAGTAAACTTTATAGTTCTGCCTTTTCCGCTGCTAACCACTGCTCCTTAAATGCTCCTGCCATAGCTTCTTTGCGATTGAGAGGCTCGGGTGGAAGTTGAGAAATGGCGAAACAGGTGGCGTGGATCCTGCATTGGAAGCAGGTGCGACCGCTACACAAATGTCTTGGAGGTGAGCGAAAAGTGGAATACGTCGCATGAGAGGTGAAGTGCGCAGATGACGAAGTAGAAGATGTTGATGGTGCTGACGTGCTCATGTCTGGTGGATAGTTGATATCGATCCGGTTGGGTGACTTAAGCGGTGCTGCTGGTGGAGAATGAGCTTCTGATGAAGCTCTATTAGTCGGAATTGTCGAATGGAGTTGCTGGATATGGGAAGATGTGTGCTGTTGTGTTGGTGGTGGCTGCACGGTGGACGGTATGAGTTGACGATGATCTGGAAGGTGAAGAAGGGCTGCTGGGCGATAGCCGCTGGGCCGATGAACGACGAGAGGTGTGAGTGAAGGTTGGAGAGAGTGAGTGTCGGGAGGATGCTGCTGTTGCTGCTGGTCCTGCTGGTGAGTAGGAGAGGATTGAAGAGGAGGAGGTAAATCGGGTGGAGATGGTTGTTGTTGTTGTGATGGAGGCGGTGATGGCTGCCGCTGCTGTTGCTCTTGATGTTGAGGGGTGGGTGCAGAATATGATGGCGGTGGTTGTTGGTCTTGAGCATGAGACGTGTCTTCGTGTTGCTGCTGCGGTGACGATGCAGGAACTCCACTTAGAATGATTGTTGGAAGTTCGAAATCTGCAAAGGTAGAGAAGGGAGGAACTTGAGAGGAAACAAGAGGGAAAGAAGATTTCCAAGAAGACGGGGACATGTCTTCATAGAAGATCACGTCCCTTGACACAATGTCTCTTTTTAAGAGAGGATCCCACATCAACCAGCCCTTACTCTCCTTGGCCATGCCCAGATGCATGCCCCATGCT